TTACATTCTTGTTTTATCCCAAGTCTCCAGAATGCCATGTGCATTCCCCACACACAGCCCACCTCAGTGAGGACCTGCCACGTCTTGGGGGCTTCGGCCACATGTGACCAGGGCACGGCCACACTGGGCGCAGGGGCCTCACGTCACGGCCACACTGGGCGCAGGGGCCTCACATCACGGCCACACTGGGCGCAGAGGCCTCGCGTCACGGCCACACTGGGTGCAGAGGACCTGGGTTTGGTTTCTCAGGTCGGCCTCACCACCGTGCAAACGGCGGAAGCTCCAGGTGTCCGGCTGCAGAGTAAACCTGCCAGAAATCGCCTCTGGACTTTTTGGCAAGCAGAAGTTGAGAACAGGAAGCTACATTGTTGCTTTGTAACCGCGAACTCCGTTTTTCTGAGGTTGAGGGAAGGCTGTGTTTGTCCGGGCAGATGTTTCACGTTTGCTGGGAACAGCAGCCTCTCAGGGGCCTCCGGCCGGTGTGGTACCCACTGACGTGCCAAGCCCCCTGCCTGGAACTGGCACCGGGTGCTGTGGCCTTGGCTGGCCTGGCTTCCAGGACCCCCTCAGGGCTCTTCCTGACGTCCCAGGGGGCCACCCGTCTGGCAGGCACCCGCCCGTCCCAGCGCAGAGGCACCAGAGCTTTGATGTGCAAAATGTAGGATGCTCGAAATGATCCCATAGAACTGCGTTACTTCATTTTAAAACGTTCATTCCGAGAGTTTCCTTGGTGATAGCAAAGATTTTTTTTTTAATTTTTGGCCAGGCACGGTGACTCACGCCCAAAGTCCCACAGCTTTGGGAGGCCAAGGTGGGTGGATCGCTTGAGCTCAGGAGTTCAAGACCAGCCTGGGCGACACGGCGAAACCCCATCTCAACAAAAAATACAAAAATTAGCAAGTTGTGCTGGGCCTCACCTGTAGTCCCATCTTCTCGGGAGACTGAGGCAGGAGGAGCGCTTGAGCCGCAGAGGTGGAGGCTGCAGTGAGCTGTGATCACGCCACTGCACTCCAGCCCGGGTAACAGCAAGACTCTGCATAAAAAATATATATTTATTAAAAGATGGGGTCTTGCTGCGTTGCCCAGGCTGGTGTCAGCACAGCACACTAGCCTCAAACTCCTGGCCTCAGGCGAGGTGCAAACTGCCACTGGGCTTTAAAATTTTTATTTAGGCCAGGACAGCGGCTGACGACTGTAATCCCAACACTTCAGGAGACTGAGGCAGGTGGATCACTTGAGGCCAGGAGTTCAAGAGCAGCCTGGGCAACATAGTGAAACCCTGTCTCTACTAAAAATACAAGAACCAGCCGGGCGTGGTGGTGAACACCTGTAGTCCCAGCTACTCGGGAGGCTGAGGCTGCAGTTGCAGTGAGTAGAGATTGAGTCACTGCACTCCAGCCTGGGCGACAGAGCGAGACTCTGTCTCAAAACAGAACAACATAAATTTTCTTTTCTTTTTTGTTTTTTGTTTTGTTTTGTTTTGTTTGAGACGAAGTTTCGCTCTGTCACCCAGGCTGGAGTGCAATGGCACAATCTCAACTCGCTACAAGCTCCACCTCCCGGGTTCAAGTGATTCTCCAGCCTCAGCCTCCCAAGTAGCTGGGACTACAGGCACCTGCCACTGCGCCCGACCAATTTTTATATTTTCTATAGAGATGGGGTTTCACCATGTTGGCCCGGCTGGTCTCGAACTCCTGACCTCAGGTGATCCGCCAACCTCAGCCTCCCAAAGTGCTGGGATTACAGATGTGAGCCACCGCGCCTGGCTAATTTTGTAGTTTTAGTAGAGACGGGGTTTCTCCCTGTTGGCCAGGCTGGTCTCGAACTCCTGACCTCAGGTGATCCGCCTGCCTCGGCCTCCGAAAGTGCTGGCATTACAGACATGAGCCACCGCGCCCGGCCAACAAAACAAATTTTAAGGCTATGCCTTTGCCGTCAGGCCCAGGCACCCCCAGCCTTAGGTGCCCACAGATGTGATGTCGGTCCCTACAGGTTAGGTTAGAATTCCCACTTTTTTGGATTTCCTGTAAGTGGAGTCACACCGTGTGCACGCGTGACTGCCTCCCTTCACTGTTGCCGACGGACATCTGTGCTGCCCTGACCGGCAGTTTGTTCCGTGGGTTGCTGGTGAGGACTCCACTGGACTCGCGGTACGGGCACCACAGGGCTTCTCCGTTCACTGCTGATGGACAGTCTGGGGCTGCTGTGCATGGAGCTGCCGTGAACACATACGGACGGTGCTGGACAGACGTGTCTGCGTTTTTCTTGGGTGGATGTCCAGGCCGGGAACGGCTGGCTGCGTGGAAGCCTGCGTTTAGCTCTGAGAACCTGCTCTGGTCTGCAAAGTGGTTCTGCATTTTCCTTCCCTTCAGCATGATGTGAGATTTTTACTTGGTGTTGTCAGTGTTTATTTTTATTTTTACTTTTTATATTTTAAGAGACAGGGTCTCCCTCTGTCGTCCAGGCTGGAGCGAGTGCCGTGGTGCAATCACAGCTCACTGCAGCCTTGACTCCTGGAGCTCAAAGGACCCTCCTGCCTCAGCCTCCTGAGTGGCTGGGCCTACAGGCGAGCGTCACCATGCCCAGCTAATTTATTATTATTCTTCTTTGTAGAGTTGCCCAGGCTGGTCTCATAGTCCTGGGCTCAAGCAATTCTCCCGCCTCAGCCTCCCAAAGGACTGGGATTGTAGGTGTGAGTCACTGTGCAGTTTTTTCAGTTTTTAAAATCGTAACAGTCCTGGAGGGTGCAGTGGTATTTCACTGCAGTTAGAATTTTACTTCTCCATCTCTGGAATCTACAACCAGATGCACGTAGCACCCCCACCCCCACCCCCACAGTGTGACAGCCCAGAACGTCTCCAAACATTGCCACGTTTCCTGGGGGCACATCAGCCCAGACCACGGTGCTGACGTGGGCCCGTCTTAGCCAGCCGGCTTCCTCAGGATGGACAAGAAGCAGAAAGCCTTTGGGCTTTAAAGGGATCTACAGTGAGACGAGGTTCTCAGCCATTGTTTCTCCACCCGACGTGCGTGCTCACAGACACAGCACTTCCAGGGACGTACGCAGACGCTGGCGTAATCTCAGTGTCGGTGATGTGGAAACGTCACCACCTTAGCCACCCAAGAAAGAAGATTAAAGTGCTAGTGAGTGAAAATGTCATGGGTTCAATGGTGTCCCCCCTAAAAGATATGTTGGTGTCCTCACCCCCAACCTCAGAACGTGGCGTTATTTGGAAACAAGGTCTTTGTAGATGCAAAGTTAAGATGAGGTTGTTGGGTGGACTTTCCTGCCGAAAGCTCATTTCACCGATGACCAGTCACGTAGAACCTGTTTTCACGACCTAATCGTTTACGTTTGAGGAAGTGGTTTCAACCTCTCGCCCATTTTTAACCCATTGCCTGTCTTCTTAATGGGTGCTGAGGGTTCTTAGTGTTTGCTGAACGTACGTCCTCAGTGAAATGCACGTATTGCAAGTGCTTCTCCCAGCCTGGATTATCTCTTCATTTTCTCTGCAGGATCTTTCAAAGAACCAAAGATTTGGCTTTGGCGGCATCTGGTTTATCCGTTTCTTCTGCTGATTTGAGCCTCTTGTGTTACCTGAGAAACCTCTGCCTACCCCGTAATCACGAATGTTCTCCCTGGATGAGCTCGTGGCCTCTTTTGTGTTCAGCTCACTGAGGTCCGGTCTGAGGTTGGGAGTTTGCGTTTGGAGCCCGAGGCAAGGGTTGAGGGCCGTTGTTTGTAAGGACATCAGTGGGTCCAGTGCCATCTCTCATTTCCCCCACCGACGCCCCTGACATCTTCAGCAAACATCAAACCCCAGCCAGGCGGCTCTGCTTCTGCTCTCTGTTCTGTTCCGTTTATCTGTGTCTGCCCATAAGCCGATACCAATCAACCTTGATTACCACAGCTTTGTAGTAAATCTTGAAATCTAGTCATGAAACTTCTCCAACTTCATTCATGGTTTTCAAAATTGTTTTGGTTCTTCTAAGTCCTTTGTGTTTCCGTATACATTTTAGAATCTTCTGTGGAGCCAGGCATGGTGGCTCACACCTGTGATCCCAGCACTTTGGGAGGCTGAGCTGGGAGGATCACTTGAGGCCAGGAGTTTAAGACCAGCCTGAGCAGCACAGTGAGACCCCATCTCTACAAAAGAAATGTAGAAAAATGGCCAAGCATTGTGGTGTGCACCTGTCGTCCCAGCTACTTGGGAGGCGCAGGTGGGAGGATCGCTTGAGGCCAGGAGTTTGAGATCAGCCTGGGCAGCATAGTGAGACCCTTCTCTATGCAATAAGAAAAAAAAAAGTAAAAATTAGCCAGGTGTGGTGGCACACGCCTGTGGTCCCAGCTACCTGGGAGGCTGACACAGGAGGATTGCTTGAGGAGGTCAAGGCTGCAGTGAGCGATGATCGCAGCACTGCACCCCTGTTCAATGATGATCGCACCGCTGCACCCCTGCTCAATGATGATCGCACCGCTGCACCCCTGCTCAATGATGATCGCACCGCTGCACCCCTGCTCAGTGATGATCCCACCGCTGCACCCCTGCTCAGTGATGATCCCACCGCTGCACCCCTGCTCAGTGATGATCCCACCGCTGCACCCCTGCTCAGTGATGATCGCACCGCTGCACCCCTGCTCAGTGATGATCGCACCGCTGCACCCCTGCTCAGTGATGATCGCACCGCTGCACCTGTTTGGACGACAGAGCAAGACTGTTTCTAAAAAAAGAAAGAAAAAATCACCTGTCGATTCTATTAAAAATTCTTTTGGGAATTTCACTGAGATAACGTTGAATTTAGAGATAATTTGGGAAACAGTTTCATCATGACAAGATGGAATCTTCCAACCCATGCATTTGGTATTTTAAGTTTCTTTAATTTTTCTCAGCGGTATTATTTTCAGATCTTATGTGTACTTTGTTAAATTTGACCCTAAGTGCATCCTGTGGTTTGAAGCTGTTAGGTTATAAATTTCTTTTTTTTCTCTCTCTCTTTTTTTTTTTTTTGAGACTGAGTGTCACTCTGTTGCCCAGGCTGGAGTGCAATGGCACAATCTTGGCTCACTGAAACTTCCTGACTTCGCCTCCCAAGTAGCTGTGATTAAGGGTGCTGCCACCACGCCTAGCTGGTTTGTTTTTGTATTTTTAGTAGAGACGGGTTTTGCCATGTTGGCCAGGCTGGTCTCAAACTCCTGACCTCAGGTGATCTGCCCGCCTCAGCCTCCCAAAGTGCAGAGCTCCTGGCTGTGGAGAGAACACAGGAGGGTGTGGGGGCGGTGGCAGACGGGAGGCCCGGGGTTCCAGGGGAAGGAGGGTCAAGCCGGAGACCCCTGCTTCTCAGAGACCACATGGTAAGGACCCAGGCATGAGTCACCATGCCCGGCCCAGGGTTACACATTTCAATTTCCAATTGTTGGTTGCTTGTTTGTAGAAATACAGCCAACTTTTACGTATTCACTTTGTATCCTGCAGACTGGCTAAAGCTGCTGATATCTAGTAGTTTTTTTTTGTTTTTGGTTTTGGTTTTTTGGGTTTTTTTTTTTGGCTCTTTAGAATTTTCTGCCTCACAACTGTGTCTTTTGTGAGGCAAGACAGACTCTGTTCATTGTCTCGTGCCGTTGTGGCGTCTGTTTCCTGCGTGCCCAGCTGCTTCTGTCTGGCGTGTTTTTGGGGGTCCCCGGCACTGCTGCCTCATCCGTCGGCTGCTTCCTGGTGTCCCGTGGCACGAGTGCGCCCCTGCCCTGTGCCCGCCTCTGGCCAGTGGACTTTGGTTTCTTATTTCTGGCTGCTCTGAGTAGTCACATGCAAGGCGTCTGTGGACGTGTGTGTTCGCTTCTAATGCCTGGGAGTGGAATTGCTGGGTTAATCGTTTAATTTTTGTGTCTGTGTTTATTTTTCCAGCCTGTCTCTTGTGTGCTCTTCTACTGGCACTTTCGGAATCTAGTAGAACCCGGTCATTTGTTATCTATTGGCCCCTGGCCTGACGAGAGCCCCTCATTCTAAAACTCACAGGGGCTCTGGACACATCAGGATGTTCTAGGGCTGAAGCGCGTGTGGGTGACATTGGCGTAGATGGTATTGTGTTTGCTGTTCACTCCACAGACACTGATTGAGCCCCTACAAGGTGTGAGCTTGTGCTGGTTCCTGAGGGCTAAGGAGACACTGTCTGTGTACACCCAGAGCTCCTGGCTCTGGAGAGAACACAGGGGGTGTGGGGCGGTGGCAGACGGGAGGCCCGGGGTTCCAGGGGAAGGAGAGTCAAGCCGGGGACCCCTGCTCCTCAGAGACCACATGGGAAGGACCTGGGCTTGGCCACCGGAGGGTGCAGCTCCCCTTCGTGCTCCCAGGGAGGCCCAAAGACGGGGTCTGGGTGGCTGAGGGGCTCCCCACAGTGGCCGTCAACTACTGGGCAAAGTCAAGCTTCTTCATGGCTGGACAGGACACAGGCTGCTGTTCGGGGCAGCGGAGGAGAGTGGGGGTCTCCTGGGAAGGTCCTGGGGGGATGGGTTGAGGTTAGTACCACAATTGCTGTTGGCATTTTTTAAATTATTTTTATTTTCGATGATAAAATACACATAGAATAAAATGTACCATCTGAACCATTTTGAGCGTACAGTTCAGTGACGTTAAGTACATGTACATTATTGTGTACACACCACTGCTATCCAGAACTTTCTCATCGTCCCAGGCTGAAACTGTCCCCATGAAGCCCTGTCTCCCTCCCTCCAGCCCCGGGAGGCCTCCACTCTCTGAATGTGACGACTCTAGGGACCTCATAGAAGTGGCATTATGCAGCATTTGCATCTGTGTGACGGCGAATTTCACTCAGCACAGTCTCCTCAGGCTTCATACGTCACTCGGCACGGCGTCCTCGGGCTTCATACATCGCTTGGCAGGGCATCCTTGGGGTCCGTACATCACTCGGCACGGTGTCCTCAGGGTCCGTACGTCACTCGGCACGGCGTCCTCGGGGTCCGTACGTCACTCGGCACGGCGTCCTTGGGTCCGTACGTCGCTCGGCACGGCGTCCTTGGGGTCCATATGTTGGCACAGTGTCCTTGGGGTCCATATGTTGGCACGGTGTCCTCGGGGTCCATACGTCAGCACGGCATCCTCAGGGTCCGTATGTCGCTCGGCAAGTGTCCGTGGGGTTCATCCCTGTCCTAGCAAGTGTCAGATCTTCCTTCCCTTTGGAGGCTGAAGAGACCACACTTTGTTTATTCATTTGTCAGCAGATGCTGGGGCTGCTTCCTCCCCTTGGCTACTGTGAATGATGCTGCCGGGAATGTGGGTGTATGAAGAGCTCTTGGAGACCCTGCTTTCACTTTTTGGGGTCACACACCCAGAAGCAGAATTGCCGGATCCTATGGTAATTCTATGTGCAATTGTTTGAGGAGCCACCACACTGTTTTCCTATCGCAGTTATGCCGTGTTGCATTCCCACCAGAAACACGTGAGGGTTCCCGTTTCTCCACGTCCTCACGCACAGGTGTTGCTTTCTGTTTTTTTGATAGTAGCCTCCGAATGGACGTAAGTGGTATCTTGCTGTGGTTTCGATTTACGGTTCCCTAATCATTAGTGACGTTCAGTGTCTCTGTGGGTACTTATTGCCCATTTGTATATCTTATTTAGAGAAATGTCTGTTCAAGTCTTTTGCCCATGTTTATAATTGGGCTGCTTTTTGTTGTTGAACTATAGGAGTTCTTTATATATTCTAGATATTAACCTCTATCAGATATATGGTTTGCGAATATTTTCTTTCATTCCGTGGACTACTTTTTCAGTCTTTTTAATGTGTCCTTTGATGCACAGAAGTTTTAAATTTTGGTATACTCCTGTTTATCCAGTTGTTTTTGTTGTTGTTGTTGTTACCTGTACTTTTGTGACATCTAAGAAATCATTGCCAAATCCAATGTCAGGACGTTTTCCCCGTATGTTTTCTTCTAGAGTTTTATAGTTTTAGCTCTTCTGTTTAGTTCTGCGCTGCATTTTGTGGTGATCTTTCTCCCCAGAACTCTTAACACGGTTGCTAAGGATCTCACCACATCCTGGGTAGTGGTCCAGAGCATCACTGAGCGCGGGTCAGGCACCTCGATGGAGCCGCAGGCCTCACAGGGATCAGACGCACAGTAAGGGTGAGGACCCGCTCGGTAAGCAGAGTGTGGCTGTGGAAAGCCAGCAGGAGCACCGAGCCCGCGGCTCACGGGCGGGGACGAGGCAGCACTCAGTACAGCGCGTGCAGAGCTTGGCTTTTCCACAGGCTGGGGCCACGTCGGGCCCGAGGTTCACCGGGGTGGGATGAGCTGACCGTCGTGGCCACTGGCATGTTTTGGTGCCTTCTGCTTCGTAGCTCTGTCCAGACAGGAAGTCACCGGATATGTGTGACATTAAATGGAAAACTCCTGGCCTTTTTTTCCCTGTAGAATTCGTGACAGTTTAACTTCACTCCCGCCCCTTTACAGAGGATTCCAGCACAGTTCCAAAAAATGTTTGGGAAGATTTCCTTTCTTCGAGGAAAAGTGAGTTTAAGAATCAGTGACTCTTAACGATTACACCTATCGTGTACCCACAAAAATTAAAAAATAGAAACAAGAGGAACAAGGAGTCTTGATTTTAATTTGTATTCCTGCCTTAGTGGTTTCTCCTTTCATTATGAAGGTTTTTAAACTTTTATTCCGTAATTTTTTTCTCTGTTCTCTTTTTGTCACTTTTCAAATCTATGTTTTTCCCCTTTCAAGTAATTAAAAAGAAGCCCAAGGCATTGCACAGTGTCTCGTCTCTAAGTCACGTTAGGGTAATGAAGGACCATGTAGCTGACAGCCTCCCACCCCGACAGAGGCAGAAAGATCCCAGAGGGGAAACGGAGGCACCACCTCCTAAAACCCAGTACTCACCAGTGTGTGAAGAAACTGCCTGAGGCCAGGAAAAGAAGCACCTGAAAAGATAAGAGGGACAGCGCCCAGAGCTCCACTGTGCTGAGACCCTCACAGTCCGCAGGCACTGGGTGTGAATGCAGGGGACTGGGAGCAGTCAGCCCTGGACCAAATGATGCTCCAGCCTGACCTGGCAGATGCTGGGAGGAAGAACCAAAAGGAACAGACTGTTTCCAAGTGACTGTGTCCCCGGACAAAGTTCAAGAATGTTTATATGACACAAAAAATACCCAGCAGAAACAAGATAAAACTCACAGTGTCTGCCTTGCAATAAAAATGAATAAGTCAGACACGCAAAGAAGATGGAAAATGCAACCTATAATGAAAAACATTTTAAATTTGTGTTAATCCTAACAAGTGTTTGGCAGACACGTATATTAAAACACTATATTCTATATGTTCAGAAAGATTGAGGAAAAATTGAACATTTTATGTAGATAAATGGAGATATGAAAAAGACTCAGATGAAACTAATAGAGATGAAATCTACCATGTCTGCGATAAGAAATACACAGAATGGAATTAACAGTAAATTAGACATTACAGAAGAAAAACGTAGTGAACTTGAAGATACAGAAATACAAATGATCTGAAATGAAACAAAGCCTGTGCATGTGAGAGTGTGATGGAGTGTGTCTGGTGGTATGCGGTCTGTGAGTGTGTGGCGAGTGTGTCTGAGTGCGTATGTATGTGTCTGTGAGTGTGTGTGGTGTTCTGAGTGCGTGTTGCGATGGTGTCTGAGAGTGTGGCGAGGTAGTGGTATGTATGGTGTCGGAGGTGTGGTGTCTGAGTGCGTATGTATGCGTGTCTGTGAGAGTGTGTATGCGAGTGTGTCTGAGTGCGTATGTATGCGTGTCTGTGAGAGTGTGCCACAAGTGGATGAGTGCATGTAAGTACGTTCGTGACTGCATGTATGTGTGTGCATGTGTGAGAATGTGTGAGATGCATGTGAGATGTCGTGTGTGAGTGCATGTGTGTACATGCATCTGTGTAGTGTGTGCATATGTGTGAAAATGTGTGTGGGCAAGTGTGTATGAGTACATGTGTGTGCAATGTCTGTGAGTGCAAATGTGTGTGTGCATCTGACTGCACGTGTATGTGTGTGTGCATGTGTGAGAATGTATGCGTGTGGGCAAGTGTGTGAGTGCATGTGTGCGTCTGACTGCATGTGTTTGTGTGCGTGTGTGAGAATGAGTGTGTGCATGTGGGCAAGTGTGTGAGTGCATGTGTGCATGTCTGCATGTGTGAGTGCATGTGTGCGTGTGTACGTGAGTGCATGTGTGTACGTCTGTGCATGTGTGCGTGTGCACGTGTGTGAGTGCATGTGTGTGTACGTGTGCAAAAGCATGCGTCTGTGTGCCTGTGTGTGCATATGTGCGTGTCTGTGTGTGAGTGCATGTGTGTGTGCGTGAGTGCATGTGTGCATGTCTGTGTGTGTGCATGTGAATGTGAGTGCATGTGTGCGTGTCTGTGTGTGTGCATGTGTGTGTGCGTGAGTGCATGTGTGCGTGTCTGTGTGCGTGTGTGTGAATGTGAGTGCATGTGTGCGTGTCTGTGTGCGTGTGTGCGTGAGTGCATGTGTGCGTGTCTGTGTGTGCATGTGAATGTGAGTGCATGTGTGCGTGTCTGTGTGTGTGTGTGTGTGTGCGCGTGTGTGTGTGCGTGAGTGCATGTGTGCGTGTCTGTGTGTGTGCCTGTGAATGTGAGTGCATGTGTGCGTGTCTGTGTGTGTGCGTGTGTGTGCGTGAGTGCATGTGTGCGTGTCTGTGTGTGTGCATGTGAATGTGAGTGCATGTGTGCGTGTCTGTGTGTGCGTGTGTGTGTGCGTGAGTGCATGTGTGCGTGTCTGTGTGTGTGCGTGTGTGTGTGCGTGAGTGCATGTGTGCGTGTCTGTGTGTGTGCATGTGAATGTGAGTGCATGTGTGCGTGTCTGTGTGTGTGCATGTGAATGTGAGTGCATGTGTGCGTGTCTGTGTGTGTGCGCGTGTGAATGTGAGTGCATGTGTGCGTGTCTGTGTGTGCGTGAGTGCATGTGTGCGTGTCTGTGTGTGTGCATGTGAATGTGAGTGCATGTGTGCATGTCTGTGTGTGCGTGTGTGTGTGCATGAGTGCATGTGTGCGTGTCTGTGTGCGTGTGAATGTGAGTGCATGTGTGCGTGTCTGTGTGTGCGTGTGTGTCAGTGTGTGTATTATCTGTATTACCCCGGGTTTCCCACTCACGGGAGCATGTGCCGTCTGCGCACAGGCACGGTTTGGCTGCCTCCTTTCCCAGCTGGATATCGTTTGTTTTGCTTTCTTGCCGAGCCGCTCCGGCGAGAACCCCCAGCACGGTGTAGAGTAGAAGTGGTGAGATGTTCTTGTCCCTGACCTTAGGGGAAGCTTTCGGTATTTACCACTGAAGTGTGACCTTGGCTGTGGGGATTTTGTAAGTGCCCTTCATCGGGTGAAGGAAGCTCCCTTCTATCCCAGAGTTGATAGTGTTATCATGGAATGGTGGTTTTTCTGAATTTATTGAGATGATCATGTGGGTTTGGACCTTCATTGCATTAATGTGGTTGGTGGATTCCGCTGATTTTCGTATGTTGACCCATGTTTACAGTCACGAGGTGAGTCCACTCAGCCGTGGTGGGTCCTTTCTCTAGGATGGAGTCCGTTTGCTGGGGTTTTTTCGTTTGCCTCTGTATTTACAAGGGATATCGGCCTGTTGTTTTCTTGTAGGATTTTGTCTGGCTTTAGTGTCAGGGTATTGGTGGCCTCAGAATCGTCTGGGAAGCGTTCCCTCCTCCTCTACTTTTGGAAGAGTTTGAAGGATTGGTATTAATTCTTTGCACATTTGGTAGGGTTCAGGGAAGCCGTCTGGCGCTGGGCTTTTCTTTGTGGGGTCTTCTCTTGCCGCTTATTAGTGATTCATATTTTCTATTTCTTTTTGAGTCAGTTTTCATGGTTTACATCTTTCTAGGACTCGTGTGTTTCATCCAAGTTATCTCATTATTCTCCGTATCCTTTTATGCTATTTCATGGTTTTCTCCTGATTAAAAGGAGCATGTTTACTTTGGATTTCCACAGAAAACTTTTCCGTCTATCAGAAGCAGAGAGGAGTCCTTTTGGTGAGGCACAGCCAGTGAGCTCGGGAGTGAGGCCTGCAGGTGGGACTGGGTTTGGCCGCTGGTCTCCCCTTGCCTCCTCCCCTCATCTCTCAGCCGTGGGGCCCAGACACGTCAGCTCTGTCATGAAGCCCCTTGAGCCCCTGTCCCTATGGAGAAGGGACACGGATTCGTCTGTCACTGTCTCGTGACACTTTGTGGAAATAAACTGTAGGTTGTTTGTGACAAGCTGTTCTTTTCTGCTAACTCTGTCAACGTTAATTGCTCCTAGGTTTTCACCGCAAATGGTCCAACGGTGATCATGCCCACCTGGTTCTGTTCGCGGGCATGGTTTTCCCACGTGGGCCCCTTTGACGAGGGAGGTCAGGTAAGGGCCGAGAGGCGGGAATCGGGTCCCTCCCCCGGGCTTGGGGCCCTGTCCTCTGTGTGTGGGCTCCACACACTGGCCACCCTCCGCTCTGCCATGCCCCTCCTGGCACCCGCCAGCATCTCAGTTGTTTTGCTGAAAGCAGGGGGTTTCTGCGTGAAGGCTGTGGACGCCCCGAGCATCTGCACCTGACCTGCAGCGGCTCCAGGTGACCATCCTGGTTTAAAAGCTATGTGTGGGAAAGCACAGAACACGGAAGCTGTTTGCAGAGCTGTCTCTGGGACGATAGAGGAAGAAGAGGAGCCCATTCTCCTCACCAGGGTGCACCTGCAGGCATCCGTGTCCCCGTCCTCCCCGTGGGGGTGCATCTGCAGGAGTCCATGTCCCCGTCCTCCCCGTGGGGGTGCATCTGCAGGAGTCCATGTCCCCGTCCTCCCCGTGGGGGTGCACCTGCAGGTGTCCATGTCCCCGTCCTCCCCTCCAGGGTGCACCTGCAGGCGTCCATGTCCCCATCCTCCCCGTGGGGGTGCACCTGCAGGCATCCATGTTGCCCGTCCTCCCTGTCAGGGTGCGCCTGAAAGCGTCCATGTCCAGACCGGGCCGCTCTAGCCTCTGCCTCCCTGTGGGGACTGAGGAGCCCAGGGCTGGCGTGTCACCAGCAGAGAGCTGGCCACATTTGCCCATGCTGGTCTCTAGTTGCAGGGAGACTGGACACAGAGACCAGTGGAGGGTCCTGGCACAGGGTTCCTGGGGGTCCAGAGACCCCAGGCCAGTGACTGAGATTTGGCCTCCACCTCCTACTCTTGTGACAGGGACCAGGTTCGTCTGCCCTGCCCTGGGCCTCGGCGTCCTCATCGGGACAGGCGCTCAGCAGCTCACAGGGGCCACATGGAGCCTCACGTGGGCCTGGCCACACCAGGGTCCCCACTGCCCCGCTACCTCGGACCCTGGCCTGGGTGTCCCTCATGGTCCAGGTCTCTGGGGTGCAGACAGGGCAGAGCCGTGTTTTCCCGGGTGGGGCAGGCTCTCAGCCTGCAGCTCCCCATAGTTAATCTCCGGGACACCGATGGCGGTGGGTGTAGCCCCAAGCAGGTGCGGCCAGGAAGCGCGGCCGTCGCTGGGGCCGGCAGGAAGCCTTGTGGGAAATGGTTAACAAAAGATGTTCCATGGGGCCGGCAGGAAGCCGTGTGGGAAATGGTTAACAGAAGATGCTCCATGGGAAACATTTTTTTTTTTTTTTTGAGACAGAGTCTCTGTCTCCCAGGCTGGAGTGCAGTGGTGTCAGCTCCCTGCAGCCTCTGCCTCCTGGGTTCAAGCGATTCTCCTGCCTCAGCCTCCCGAGTGGCTGGGATTACAGGCACACACCACCACGCCCGGCTAATTTTTGTATTTTTAGTAGAGACGGGGTTTCACCATGTTGGCCAGGCTGGTCTCAAACTCCTGGCCTCAAGTGATCCGCTCGCCTCAGCCTCCTAAAGCACTGGGATCACAGGCAGGAGCCACCGCATCCGGCCTGATTTCAGGATCTTATCATCCTTAAACTGTGGCCGAGCAGCCTCAGGATTCAGAAGTGCATGAGGCCGCAGCCTGGATGGGGAGCTCCTCAAGGAAAAGCCCATCCCTCCCTTGTTCTGAGACCAGAGAGCAGGGCCAGGCAGGGATCAGCGATCAGGGCCGGGGCCAGGGATCAGAGCCAGGGATCAGCAGTCAGGGCCGGGGACCAGGGATCAGGGCCAGGGGTCAGGGATCAGGGCCAGGGGTCAGGGATCAGGGCCAGGGACCAATCAGGGCCAGGGACCAGGGATCAGCGATCAGAGCCAGGGGCCAGGGACCAGGGATCAGGGCCAGGGACCAGGGATCAGAGCCAGGGGCCAGGGACCAGGGATCAGGGCCAGGGATCAGCGATCAGAGCCAGGGGCCAGGGACCAGGGCCAGGGGTCAGGGATCAGGGCCAGGGGCCAGGGACCAGGGCCAGGAGCCAGGGATCAGGGACAGGGGTCAGGACTAGGGGCGAGAGATCAGGACCAGGGACCAGGGATCAGGACCAGAGACCAGGGATCAGGACCAGAGACCAGGGATTAGGGCTGGGGACCAGGGATCAGGACCAGAGACCATGGATCAGGACGAGGGACCAGGGATCAGGACCAGAGACCAGGGATCAGGACCAGAGACCAGGGATCAGGGCTGGGGACCAGGGATCAGGACCAGAGACCAGGGATCAGGGCTGGGGACCAGGGATCAGGACCAGGGATCAGTGCTAGGGGCCAGGGCCTGGGGCTCAGGGATTAGAGCTGTGATGGGGCCATGGCTGGAGCAAGTGAGGGCTTTGGGGCCTGAGGAGGCCTCAGGTGACAGGGACAACAGCAGTGTCGGCCACCAAGACGGGGATGGACAGTGTTTCCTTGGCTTCTGCCAAGTCCTCTCCAGAGAAATGAGAAGAGCAGAAGTGACAGGGCGCCCTGAGCCAGACGCTCGGTGTGGGGCTGATCCTCAGCTCCCTCTCTGTGGGCCCCGGGGTGGAGCAGCTGAAGGGCAGGCGGCCAGGACAGCAGGGGACCAACCGGGTGGACGTGGGTGGTGCGGAGCCTGAGGCAGCCAGACTGGGAGGCCAAGCCAGGGCCAAGGGGGCTGCAGAAACGGTCGCCAGGAGCCGAAACATGCAAGACAGGGAGATTCCTGACTGGAAAGCGCATCCACTTCTGCGTTCGCAGAGGAAGGATGGGAGGGCAGGTGAGTCTGAGATTTGGAGGTGGGCATGGCAGCGCCTGAAGGCACCCACCTTTGGTAGGGAGTCCTCTGTGGGCGACCATCATAGGCCCTTAAATAAGAAAAAACCTGATGTTTTCTTGGTTCGAAACAGGTTTATAGCCGGACATAGGGGCTCATGCCTGTAGTCCCACGAGCACAAGAGGCAAAGGCAGGGGGATCGGTTGAGGCCAGGAGTTCAAGACCAACCTGGGCAGCACCAGGAAACCCCATTTCTAACAAAACGAGACAAAGTGAAAACAGGTTTCTGAGGGCAGGTCTGGCCTGAAGGAAGCTTATCACTGCCACAGGAAGGACTCAAGCCACCACCCGGCGCAACAGCCACGCTTCCGACGTTTTCCTGTCTGTGGGGCACGTTCCTAGGGTTGGACGCAAGCGAGGCCAGGCGCGTGTTCGGTTTTGTGAGACAGGTCCCCGGGCGCCGCCGTTGGGCCCCCGTCCCCGCCGTCTGCATGAGAAGTTTCCCGTCCCTCAAACTCCTCACCAGCCCCTCGCCAGACCTTGTTGTCAACTTTTTTTTTTTTTTTGAGACGGAGTTTCTCTCTTGTCTCCCAGGCTGGAGTGGAATGACACAATCCTGGCTCACCACAACCTCTGCCTCCCGGGTTCAAGCGATTCTCCTGCCTCAGCCTCCCCAGTAGCTGGGATTACAGGCATGCACCACCACGCCTGACTTTTAGTATTTTTAGTGGAGACGAGGTTTCACCATGTTGGCCAGGCTGGTCTTGAACTCCTGACCTCAGGTGATCCACCCGCCTCGGCCTCCCAAAGTGCTGGGATTACAGGCATGAGCCACCGCGCCCCGCTGGTGTTGTCAACTTTTTAACGTTGCCTGTTCTAGTTGGAGTTCGTGGTTTCCTACTGTGCTTTCATTCTGCACTTCGAGATGGCTAACGATGTTGAAGGACATCTCACGTGGTGACGGCCAGCTTCTGTGTTATTTTGTGGTGTGTCCGGCTCGTCGGCCTGTTGTCTTCTCGTTGTTGGATTGCGGGTGCTCCTGCTGGACGTTTACTTTGTGAATATTCCCTCCCATTTTGGTCTCTCTGTCTGGGACCACCGCTGCCCCCAGGTGCACTGCTTGTCCCGGATTCTGCCCTCAGCCCCTCCAGGCCGGGACTTTGGGTTTCCATGCCCTCCTTGCCCTCCTTGTCCTCCTTGCCCCTGCAGCACCACTTCCCCAGGCTCTGGCCGCACACAGTCTCCTCTGAAGGTGCTGGCTGCTCAGCCACGGACAGCCTGGAGCCATCACCTGCTTTTGACTTTTTAAATTTCTCTGCACATTGAAGGTTTGCATTTTGGTCTAGTGGTTATCTGTGTACTTAACCCTTTTCTAAACACCTTGAATCCCCCATATGTTGCCCACACAACAGTCAATAAGATTGTTGGTTTCCTATTTTTTTTTTCCTTTTCCCCTCCTCCTGTCCTCCTTTTTTTTTTTTTTTTTTTTGACGGAGTCTCGCTCTGTCGCCCAGGCTGGAGTGCAGTGGCCGGATCTCAGCTCACTGCAAGCTCCCGGGTTCACGCCATTCTCCTGCCTCAGCCTCCCGAGTAGCTGGGACTACAGGCGCCCGCCACCTCGCCTGGCTAATTGTTGTATTTTCAGTAAAGACAGGGTTTCACCATCTTGGCCAGGCTGGTCTTGAACTCCTGACCTCGTGATCCACCTGCCTCAGCCTCCCAAAGTGCTGGGATAACAGGGGTGAGCCACCGCCCTGGCCCTTTTGTTACACGGTTTCTACTTAGGTCCGAGGACAAACATCCATATACTAGTCTTGCACCCTTGTCCCGTAGTCTCCCACCTGCAGTCACATCCGGCGTCCACCGCCGCGGCTCTGGCCGGGTGTCTGGTCCCCACGTGGCTGGAGCCACAGCTCTCTGTGAGGCCGCGCTCGTCAGAACTGCGTTCCTGGAGCCTGAGGCTGGAGGAAGCCTCTGGCTGTGCGGGAAGTTCTTGGTCCGTGCACTGTCTGTCGCCACTTCGTGTGACTGTTTTGAGAAGTCTGGTGCACAGTGAATCTTGCCTTTGTAAGTTTTGTGACCGTTTTGCCTGGAGACTCTGAGAATTATTTTTTATTGCTGAAGTCTAATAGTTTCACCAGGATCTGCCTTCAGGTTGACCTGATGGTGCTTTTCAGTGTGTAGAAACAGATCTGCTTTCATTTCTGGAAATTTTTCTTGGATTGCGGTTTTAAATACTAGCTATGTCCATTGTGGGTTTTGTTTTGTTTTGTTTTGTTTTGTTTTAAAGACTCCAGTTCTACATAGGTAAGATTTTCTTAGTCTTTCTAACTTACCTTTTCACTTCATTATATAATTTCTGTTTTCCTTTCTTCAATGTCCCTTATTACATTTTTAATTAAAATCTATTTTCTCTTAAGGATCTTGTAATTTAGCCTTCATTTTTCATATATTTTGTTCCTTTTTTTTTTTGGAGACAGGGTCTCACTCTGTTGCTGAGGCTGGAGTGCAGTGGCTCAATCTCAGCTCACTACAACCTCTGCCTCCCAGGTTCAAGCAATCCTTGTATCTCAGCCTCCCAAGTAGCCGGGACTACAGGTGCGCACTACCACACCCAGCTACTTTTTTCATTTTTGGTAGAGACTGGTTTTGACATGTTGCCGAAGCTGGTCTCGAACTGCTGGGCTCAAGCAATCCACCCCCCACCTCAGCCTTCCAAAGTGCTGAGATTAAAGGCATGAGCCACCACACCCAACCCATTTTGTGTCTCTTTTTTTTTTTTTTTTTTTTTCAAGTAGAGATGGGGTTTCACTGTGTGTTAGCCAGGATGGTCTCGATCTCCTGACCTCGTGATCCGCCCACCTCGGCTTCCCAAAGTGCTGAGATTACAGGCGTGAGCCACCGCGCCCAGCCAATTTTCTCTCTCCTTAAAATTTCTTTTTTTAATTTAATCGACCCAATTTTATATAAAAGCTTCATTGAGGTATAATTCACATGCCATACAATTCACCTATTAAAATGTGCAATTCATTGTTTTTTAGCAAATTTATAGGGCTGTGCAATCACCAGTCACCACTACCATCTGATGTTAGAACATGGTCATTCCCAAAAAAGCACTTCCTGTACCCAGAGGTGCGCCTCATCTGCCCCCTGCCAGCCCCGGCCAAGCACTAACGCACTTTCCTCAATGCTCTATTTAGACGCACCCCATTAGGGTCCAGTTCTGCACTTAGTCCTTGAATTTCTGATTCAAGATGGGTCTCCGCCACCTCCCCGCACACCCCACCCCATAGCCTGAAACACTGGTGGAGGGTGTGGAATTTATCTTGGCGAGTTGTTCACGGGAGTCTCTGTTTCCTGGTTTGGAGGTTTGTTGTTGCTGTGGGGGACAGGCTGAATTTTTATCCATGGAAGTGTTTCCAGTTTTTAGTTTTCTCTGCTGGTTTGGTGCAGAAGACTTAGCGTCCTTGTGGCCCACGGACTCTGATTGCTGGGCCCGGGCTGGAGCTCTCCCCATCTGTCCCCGCGTGGTGACTGCTGCTTCCTCCTGGAGGCTCGCGCTGGGGATGGGGCTCTGGAGAAGGGCGCGCGGCGCTGGGGACGGGCCCTGGAGAAGGGCGCGCGGCGCTGGGGACGGGCCCTGGGGAAGGGCGCGCGGCGCTGGGGACGGGGCTCTGGAGAAGGGCGCGCGGCGCTGGGGACGGGCCCTGGGGAAGGAAGCGTGTCCCTGATTCGGCTTCCTTTTGCCTCTCAGGATTGGAGTCCAGAGCCTCTGGCCTGGCCTTCCTGGGAGTGGCTTTAGCTCGCGCTCTCCTCCTCCAGGAAGTTCTGGGTGCTCCATCCCCAAAGGCTGCCCGGGATGGTTCTGTGAGCAGGTTGGGGCTGGGCAGCCACACTTCCTCCGCTCTTGGCATTTCCCTGATGCCTTTCTGGGTAGTGACGCATCCCCTCTCCCTGCACACCACAGGGCAGTCCAGGCACCTGGAGGGTGATTGGGAAAAGCCTCGGGGAGGAGTGAGGCCATTTTGGGTCCTCAGGTCTCAGCAGCAGCAATCAGGGGAGGGGAGAGAAAAGTGGGACAGACCCGCTGAGTCCCCCTCCTCCCGGGGCAGAAGCACCACCCAGGAGCTGCTGTTAACTAAATTCTCACTTTACTGCCAGAAAATAAGAAAACCCTAAGGGTCAGGTTCTTCCTGGTGATAGGAAGAGAGAAGCCGTTTTTGTCTTCCTAAACCTATAAGGTGTTCAGAGTTCCGATGCTCTTTAGAGCTGCCTTTGAAAACACAGAAAATTAGAGAAAATACTTCAGTGACCCCTGTGAGGGTCTGTGTCCACCAGCACCTGCGGGAGCCCCACCCTGATTCACCCGTGTGAGGATCCGTGTCCACCGGCACCCGCGGGAGCCCCCACCCTGATTCACCCGTGTGAGGATCCGTGTCCACCGACACCTGCGGGAACCCTCACCCTAAATCACCCATGTGAGGCTCCGTGTCCACTGGCACCCATGGGAACCTCCACCCTAAATCACCCGTGTGAGAGTCCGTGTCCACCGACACCCGCGGGAGCCCCCACCCTAAATCACCCGTGTGAGGGTCCGTGTCCACCGACACCCGCGGGAGCCCCCACCCTAAATCACCCATGTGAGGGTCCATGTCCACCGACACCCGCGGGAGCCCCCACCCTAAATCACCCGTGTGAGAGTCCGTGTCCACCGACACCCGCGGGACCCCCCACCCTAAATCACCCATGTGAGGCTCCGTGTCCACCAGCACCTGCGGGAGCCTCACCCTGAATCACCCGTGTGAGGGTCCGTGTCCACCGGCACCCATGGGAACCTCCACCCTAAATCACCCATGTGAGGGTCCGTGTCCACCGGCACCCATGGGAACCTCCACCCTAAATCACCCGTGTGAGGGTCCGTGTCCACCGGCACCCATGGGAACCTCCACCCTAAATCACCACTGTGAGGGTCCGTGTCCAACGGCACCTGCGGGAGCCTCACCCTGAATCACCCATGTGAGGTAGCACGTGGGCTTCTGTGATTCCTTTGTCTTTATCTTATGGTGGATAAACTTTTAGCAGAGCTGTACACATAATTTTGAGGTCTGTTCTTTGACTCAGCATCTTCTTACAAATCTTTCCATGTCACCGTGGTTTTCATAAAAGGTGTTGCCCTGCGGAGGCGGAGGTTAAATAGTGCATTTTTGTTGGACGCGGAAGCGCAGCACTGCCTGTCTGTCCTGGGAGCAAACAGGCCAGCGGTTGGGCCGTGATATTTTGGGACCTTTACTGACCTGCACTTGAAGTTTGAGTGCCAGCCAAGGAGAGAAGAGGCTGGACTTAGTAACAGACTGGCCCTGCTGCTAGGCTGTCAGAAAACCCACCCTTTCCTGGAGCAAAGGTGTCTGTGGGCGGCTGACCCAGGTGAGCTGCAGCAGAGAACCACGAGGAGACCAGACTCCACGCCCTGCTCCTCCCCCAGTTTTATGTTTGAATTTAAGGAAACAACAGGGGCCCAGTTCTGCACAAGGCCCAGAGCCGGCCCCAGACGGACCCACGGCTCGGCCACAGCCCTGGGCTGAGGACGGGTCTGCCCAGGAGAGGAGCAAGCAGAGGGCAGGGGCCATTGGGATGATGGGCCGGGGGAAGGAGGGCCCAGGTTCTCACAGGACAGAAAAGTCTGGTGGGAATGCCTGCAGAATGTTCCAGAGCAGAGTCCCCACTGACATGGAGATGTTCGTGGATCAGCCCCGTGGGCTGAGGTTCAAGTTTCTGAGTGTGGACAAGTGAGCGGGGCTGGCACAGGCCCGGGGCTGCCTCCCCACTGCTGGGCTCCCCTGCGTGCAGCCCCTCGCGCCCACCCAGCACCACCTTGCTCTGCCCACAGTCGGCACTTTGAGTCCCTTGAGCTTCTGGGGCCGCGGCCACTGGCAGGAAAGGGCGGGGACGGAGACCGGACAAGCCGTCCAGGATCCGCAGCTGCAAGACCCGGACCCACCCAGCCCCTTTCCTCGGCTGCCTGTCGTCCGCTTTGCCCTGAGACCTTTGCTGCCCAAAATGGAATTTGGGGCAGAACCGAGAACCAGCACACCCTCCCTTCCCCTCTTTCCCGCCTGTGGAGAAGCTCAGTTGCTCACTTCTGTTAGGGTCGCCACCTCATGTCCCTGTTGAGCCTCTAAACTGGCTTCTTTGCAACAAAAGCCTTTCCACCAGTCCCTGGCTGGCCAGCTGAGCACAGGTGCATCTGGGGCAGGCACGCGTTTCCCGCCCCGGTGAAGCCTCTGGTCCCACCCTGCAGGGCGTCCCGGAGGACCTGTTGTTCTTCTACGAGCACCTCAGGAAGGGCGGCGGCGTCGTCCGTGTGGACCAGAGCCTCCTGCTGTACCGATACCACCCGCGGGCGGCCACGCACTCCGTCCTTGAGTAAGTCGGCCCCGCCCAGCCCGGGACGCCCCGGAGGCCAGGAACGGGGGAGGCGCCCAAGGTCGGGCCGGGGTTGGGGGGCCGACCCCGGAGGCTGTGGTCAGGCTCTGCCTTGAGACCCAGGGTCCAGTGGGACACAGGGAAGCTGCACATCCCGAGGGTCGGGGGCTCGGGGTCTGCAAAGGAGCGTTTCCCAAGGGTGCCAAGGGTGAAGGCGGAACGGCCTCCCCTAGTTCCCAGAGGTAAAACGACCACGCACTGGGTCATTTGAAACCCTGTGCTCCCTTTAACCCGACGGGAGTCTCATGAGTAGGGTCCGGCTGGGTCCACAGGCCTGGGTGCCACAGCTGCCATGGAGGGTGGCGGAGGCTTGGCCAGGAAATCATGGTGCCCAGTGAGGACGAGCTCAGTGCTGCAGGGCCCGGCTCCCTCTCCCGCGTCACTGTCAGGCTCGGCCACGTGGTCCCAGGTCCCTCTCCCGCGTCACTGTCAGGCTCGGCCATGTGGTCCCAGGTCCCTCCCCCGTGTCACTGTCAGGCTCGGCCACGTGGTCCCAGGTCCCTCCCCCGTGTCACTGTCAGATGCGGCCACATGGGCCTGGGTCCCTCTCCCGTGTCACTGTCAGATGCAGCCACGTGGGCCTGGCTCCCTCTCCCGGCTCCCTCTCCCGTGTCACTGTCAGGTGCGGCCACGTGGGCCTGGGTCCCTCTCCCGTGTCATCGTCAGATGCGGCCACGTGGGCCCGGCTCCCTCTCCCGTGTCACTGTCAGGAGCGGCCACGTGGGCCTCTACAGCTCACAGGCTCCTAACTCCAAGGTCTGTGGCTCCAGCTGGTCTGGGGGTGCCGCGTGGCTATGTTGGAGCCATGGCAGGGGTGAGGCAAATCAGGGTGAAGCGACGTGCATCTGGAATTCCTCCCTTAGATCCGGGCGGGACGATTCCTTCCTTAGAACTGGGCAGGACACAGAGGTCTCGGCCACCTGCCTGCCGCGTGCCGCAGCGTTAACTTGGAATGCAGGCCGCTGTCCGGGACTTGTGTCTTGGCCCCTGTGGATACTCAGGGCCCCTGGAGTCTCAAGACCCTAACCAAGGTCCTCTGTGGGTGTGGGAGCCGCGAAGGTCCCGGGCTACTGTGACAGGGCTGAGACTCTCGGCAAGTTCCCAGCTCCCCAGGGGGTTTAGGTCACAGGTCACAGGTGGGGCCGGGGTGTTGGCAGGAGGGTCACGAGCTTCCCCACTGGGGGCATCATCCTCACTCCCGCCTGTTGAGGCCACCCACATCTACAGTCCTCTTCTCCCCCGTCCACACTCCTCTTCCTTCTCCCCCGTCCACACTCATCTTCTTTCTCCCGCGTCCACACTCCTCTACCTTCTCCCACGTCTACACTCCTCTTCCTTCTCCCCCATCCACACTCCTCTTCCTTCTCCCCCGTCCACACTCCTCTTCCTTCTCCCATGTCCACGCTCCTCTACCTTCTCCCCAGTCCACACTCATCTTCCTTCTCCCCCGTCCACACTCCTCTACCTTCTCCCCCGTCCACACTCCTCTACCTTCTCCTCCGTCCACACTCCTCTACCTTCTCCCCAGTCCACACTCGTCTTCCTTCTTCCGCGTCCACACTCCTCTTCCTTCTCCCGTGTCCACACTCCTCTTCCTTCTCCCCCGTCCACATTCGTCTTCCTTCTCCCCCGTCCACACTCCTCTTCCTTTTCCCCTATCCATGCTCCTCTTCCTTCTCCCCCGTCCACACTCCTCTTCCTTCTCCCCCGTCCACACTCCTCTTCCTTCTCCCCCGTCCACACTCCTCTTCCTTCTCCCCCGTCCACACTCCTCTTCCTTCTCCCCCGTCCACATTCCTCTTCCTTCTCCCCCGTCCACGCTCCTCTTCTTTCTCCCCCGTCCACGCTCCTCTTCCTTCTCCCCCGTCCACGCTCCTCTTCCTTCTCCCCCGTCCACGCTCCTCTTCTTTCTCCCCCGTCCACGCTCCTCTTCCTTCTCCCCGTCCACGCTCCTCCTTCTCCCCCGTCCACGCTCCTCTTCCTTCTCCCCCGTCCACGCTCCTCTTCCTTCTCCCGCGTCCACACTCCTCTTCCTTCTCCCCCATCTACACTCCTCTTCCTTCTCCCCCGTCCACATTCCTCTTCCTTCTCCCCCATCTACACTCCTCTTCCTTCTCATGCCCACTGGTACCATGGCTGCCTCCTTATGCTGTGACGTGTCCCTGACACTTCAGCTCCTTTGCAACATTTCCAGAAATGCTGACTTGTGCTTTTGGGATAAACTGCGTTTCCACCTTTCCCAGTGCCTGGGCGGGGCCACAGCTTCCTCTGAGGATGTAAAAGAAAGTCACAGGGGGCCCTGGGGAGCTGTTCTCCCTGATTAAATGAGAACTTTTTTAAATGTGAAAAATGAAAATGAACCAAATGCAGATGTTTCATCATGGCTGCTTCTAAATTTTATCTTCCTATGATGGGCCAACGTTTTCAGACCAGAGACCCCTAGGAAAGCCCAGGAGACAAGGGGCCGTCAAGGAGGCCGGTCTCAGAGGCTCCCCCACCTCGCGTGCCACCCATGGCCACAGAGGCCGGCTGCTTCCTTCTGGAGCCTGACTGCTTTCCTCTCACGTGAACCCCATGGGGCCCCCGAGCTGATGTCGCTGGATGAGGGTCAGGCTCGTCCCCCCAGAGACACCCACAGACCGGGGCTGCTGAGGACAAGATGGCGAAACCCGGCGAGGCTGTGTCACCTGGTGGGCGAGTCCCCGCAGTCGTCTGCAGGAGCTGTCCTCGCCCAGGTTGATGCCCACACACACGCGCGCACACACAGCACATGCACACAGACCATGCGCACACATACAGCACGCGCACACACACACACACTGCACATGCACGCAGACCACACGCACATGTACACACACACACACACAGCACATGCACACAGACCACACGCACACCTACAGCACGCGCACACACACACTGCACATGCACACAAACCACGCGCACACGTACAGCATGCACACACTGCACATGCACACAGACCACACGCACACGTACAGCATGCACACACACACACTGCACATGCACACAGACCACACGCACATGTACACACACACACACACTGCACATGCACACAGACCACACGCACACGTACACACACACACACAGCACATGCACACAGACCACACGCACACCTACAGCATGCACACACACACTGCACATGCACACAGACCATGCGCACACGTACAGCACGCACACACACTGCACATGCACACAGACCATGCGCACACGTACAGCACACACACACTGCACATGCACACAGACCACACGCACATGTACACACACACGTGCGCGCACACACACACGTGCACACACAGCACATGCACAGAGACCACACGCACACGTACAGCATGCGCACACACACACTGCACATGCACACAGACCACACGCACACGTACAGCACGCACAGCCGCACAGTACATGCAGACGTGTGCTCACTGCATACATGTATTCACACTGCACAGACCCTCACTGCACACGCGTGCACACATGCGTGTACACACATCCACACAGTACATACAGGCATGTACTCTGAACACCTGCACACACTGTACACATGTGCTCATGTACACACACATGCACTCACTACATGCATGCACTCACTACACACGCATGCACAGTGTGCACACATCCCGCACACCCCACACAGTGTGTGCGCGCCCCGTACACCCCACACGGTGTGCGCACGCGCACACATGATTCAGTGTCCTCAAGTCACTGGGACACGCATCTTCCTGTGTCCCAGGCGGAGTCAGGACTATTGAGGTGGCTGCAGAGGGTGGGGAGGAAAAGGTGGCTCCAGGCAGGACATCCCTGACCATGCCTAAGCCCTGCAGCCCCCTGAGCTGACAGAGGGGACCCCATGTCCCCCCATCCCATTGCCTGTGGCGGTTCTGCTGCAAACAGGGGGTGCCACAGGGTTGGGGAGGAGTCCAGAGTTTATCCTGGGAGGTGGAGGCAGCAGCAGAATCGTAGAATGGACGAATCCTGCCCCGATCCCGAGGCTGAACCCACAAGGGCTCTGCTCAGGGGAGGCCCGTCACCAGCCAGCGTTGTTGTGTCCGAGACCCAGTGAGGCATGGCCCAGACCCCGTCCCAGAGGAGGCTCCCACGGACACAGCTCCCTTGACAGAGAGCAGAGGGCATCCCGGGACTCGGCCAGGGCAGGGTCTGCCGGGCACAGGGATTCAGCGTGGCTGCCTCACAGCAGCTGGGGAGGACGGTGTCTGGGACACATCCCAGGCCGTTCTGGCCCCGTTGGCCTCTGCATTGCCGAGCCCCTCTAGCCCCTCCAGCTCCTGGGCCTTTGAGACGGGGTTGGCCCAGGCAGCCCCAGGAGCAGGCTCGAGGGAGAGGTGCCCACAGGCAGGCAGCTGACAGCGATGGGGCATGTGGGGAGAGGCTGGGGTGGGAGGAGAGAGGGTGGGACGGGAAGGGCCCAGGCAGCGATGGGGCAGAGCAGCAGGTCCTAGGAAGGAGCCTGCTCCCAGGACAGCAACCTGGGGTCTGCTTGTCACAGCAGAGGCAGAAAGAACAGAGACCAGGATCCCAGGGGAGTGACAGGGTTCGGGGCAGTGACCTGAGGCAGAAGATCATGTGTAAGTGTGATTTTATGGGATGGTCGCATGTGCCCTTACGGACACAGGTTTCTCTGGGAAACTGACTTGGGTCAAGTCCAGTCCTCTGCGTCCTACAGAAATTCTGCCTTCCAGAACCTTCTAGATTCTTAAGCGACAGCTTCTCGTCTGTCCCCACCTGTTGGGGTCTGATGGAAGGGGCGGGTCCCCACCTAGGCATGTGGCTACATCCAGCTGGGGCAGGTGGCCTGACTAGGACAGCCAGTCTCTCAGGCCCTGGGCCCAGTGTCCACCCCACTGGCAGCGTCAGCGGAGCACACACCACGTCCTGAATGTTGGCATCTGTGTGCATCTCTGGGGCCCCCGGCCTGCCTGTCACCCTCTTCTCCACTGCAGGACGACCATCTGGACCCACCGCGTCCGTTTCCTGGAAGAGCAGGCCCTTCCCCGCTGGGCAGCCTTCACCATCTGGAACGCCGGCAAGCAGGGGCGCCGGCTGTACCGCAGCTTGACCGCTGCCAGCCAGCGCAAGGTGGGCACCCTGACACCCTCCAACACTGCCTGCCCCGCCCCCATGCTGCCCCACAGCACAGGCCCCAGCCTCGGCCTGTCCAGAGCTGCCCTTCTGTGCCTGTCCCCAGGTGGTGGCCTTCTGTGACTTCTGTGCCTGTCCCCAGGTGGTGGCCTTCTGTGACGTGGACGAGAACAAGATCAGGAAAGGCTTCTATTGCCACGAGGACTCTCAGGTGTGCAGGGCCGCACGGCATTACCCTTGGGGTCACCCACCTGCTCCAGGGCTGAGGGACAGCTGCCCAGAGCCTTCGCCCTTGGCAGAGTCCACCTGGGCTGTGCCAGCTCCTCGGGGCCTCCAGGGAGCTCAGCCCCCATCCCCTGGGGGAGAACCCTGCTATCCCTCGTGGGTCTGGGCCTTGGGGTAGCCCACCCTGGTCCGTTCTGCAGTCAGGTGTCAAGCAGGGGTGGTGGGGGTTGGAGTCCTGCCCTGAATGGCTGCCGCCCAAGCCCTGGCTCCTGTGTGAGGCAACTCAGTGGCTGCGTGCACCTGAGGGCGTCTCTCCTGGGAAGAGCCGAGCTCGGGCAGGACTGATGGCCACTCTCATTCTCAGGAAAGACCCAAGCCCCGAATCCCCATCCTGCACTTCCGAGCCGCCCGGCCACCCTTCGTCATCTGCGTGAAGCTGGTGAGTGTGGGGCCCTTGGCCGTGGGGGGCTTGCGGGTCTCGGGCTCTGCCACGTGGACAGCCTGCCCTGCCATGCAATGACTGTGTGGCCTGGGATGAGAAGCCAGCCGATGGTGGGCATGGGGACAGGTGCCACAGCTGTCCACAACGGCACCACAGACCGGGCTGTGAGGTGGTGGCTACTGCCCTGGGAACAGGAGGCAGCTGGAGGGTGGCCTGCACGGGTGTGAAGGGGATGGATTCTGGTCTCTCTTCTGTCTTTAAATACCTGTAAAACCAACATTTGTTAGAAACTTGCAAAGCACGAGACCCTACGGTGCCATGTCTGAGGGGCCAAGGCCAGGACCTTTAGCTCCCATGGACTGAGGTGGCCGCACCGGGGATGTCCAAAGCCCCTGAGTATGAACGACCCTTGCCTGGGGTGGGCAGGTGACAGGCACCTCGGGCTCCAAATGCAGCCTTTTTCCCCAAGCGTGGGGAGTCCAGTTGGCTGCAGGGGGCTGGGGTGAGTAGTTTTTTAAAAATTTTAAGTTCTGGATACATGTGCTGAACATGCAGGTGTGTTACATACATTTACCACATTGTGCCATGGTGGTTTGCTGTACCTGTCAACCTGCCATGTAGGTTTTAAGCCCTGCATGCATTAGGTGTTTGTCCTAATGCTCTCCCTCCCCTTGCCTCCCACCCTCCAACAGGTCCCATCGTGTGACATCCCCGTGTCCATGTGTTCTCATTGTTCAGTTCCCACTTACGAGTGAGAACATGCAGTGTTTGGTTTTCTGTTCCTGTGTTAGTTTGCTGAGGATGATGGTTTCCAGCTTCATCCATGTCCCTGCAAAGGACATGAACTCATTCCCTTTTATGGCTGCATACTATTTCGTGGTATATATGCGCCATATTTTCTTTATCCAGTGTATCATGGATGGGCGTTTGGGTTGATTCCATGTCTTTGCTATTGTGAATAGTGCTGCAATGAACACACACGTGCACGTATCTTTATAATAGAATGATTTGTATTCTTTTGGGTATATACCAATAATGGTATTGCTGGGTCAAATGGCATTTCTCATTCTAGATCCTTGAGGAATCGACATTGTCTTCCACAATGGTTGAACCAATTTACATTCCCACCAACAGTGTAAAAGCGTTCCTACTTCTCCACAGCCTCGCCAGCATCTGTTCTTTATTTTTTAAAAATCGCCATTCTGACTGGCGTGAGACAGTGTCTCATCATGGTTTTGATTTGCATTTCTCTAATGACCAGTGATATCGCATTGTGGTTTTGATTTGCATTTCTCTAACGAACAGTGATGAGCTTTTTTTCATGTTTCTTGAACACGTGTTTTCTTTTGAGAAGTGTCTGTTCATGTCCTTTGCCCACTTTTGGATGAGGTTGTTTTTTTCTTGTAAATTTAAGTTCCTTGTAGATTCTGTATATTAGACCTTTGTCAGATGGATAGATTGCAAAAATTGTCTCCCGTTCCATTCCTGTCACTCTGATGATAGTTTCTGTTGCTGAGCAGAAGCTCTTTACTTTAATTAGATCCCATTTGTCAATTTTGGCTTTTGTTGCAGTTGGTTTTGTTGTTTTAGTCATGAAGTCTTTGCCCATGCCTATGTCCTGAATGGTATTGCCTAGGTTTTCTTCTAGGGTTTTTATGGTTTTAGGTTTTAGGTTTAAGTCTTTAATCCATCTTGAGTTAATTTTTGTATAAGGTGTAAGGAAGGGGTCTAGTTTCTGTTTTTTGCATATGGCTAGCCAGTTTTCCCAGCACCATTTATTAAATAGAGAATCCTTTCCCCATTGCTTGTTTTTGTCAGGTTTGTCGAAGATCAGATGGTTGTGGACATGTGGTAGTATTTCTGAGGCCTCTGTTCTGTTCCATTGGTCTATATATCTGTTTCGATACCAGTACCACGCTGTTTTGGTTACTGTAGACTTGCAGTATAGTTTGAAGTCAGGTAGCGTGATGCCTCCAAATTTGTTCTTTTTGCCTAGGATTGTCTTGGCTGTATGGGCTCCTTCTTTGGTTTCATGTGAAATTTAAAGTAGTTTTTTCTGCTTCTGTGAAGAACCAGAAATGGTAGCTTGATTGGAACGGGATTGAATCTATAAATTATTTTATGGCCATTTTTATGATATTGATTCTTCCTATCCACAAGCATGGAATTTTTTCTTTTTTCCATTTGTTTGTGTCCTATTTCCTTGAGCAGTGGTTTGTAGTTTTCCTTGAAGAGGTCCTTCACATCTCCTGTAAGTTGTATTCCTAGGTATTTTATTTTTTTTATTTATTTATTTATTTATTTATTTATTTGAGATGGAGTCTCGATCTGTCGCCCAGGCTGGAGTGCAGTGGCACTATCTCCAGTCACTGCAAGTTCTGCTGCCTCCCGGATTAATGCCATTCTCCTGCCTCAGCCTCCCTAGAAGCTGGGACTACAGGCGCCCGCCACCACGCCCGGCTAATTTTTTTGTATTTTCAGTAGAGACAGAGTTTCACCGTGTTCGCCAGGATGGTCTCGATCTCCTGACCTCGTGATCCGCCCACCTCAGCCTCCCAAAGTGCTGGGATTACAGGCGTGAGCCACCGCGCCCAGCCGGTATTTTATTTTCTTTGTAGCAATTGTGAGAGTTCACTCATGATTTTGCTCTCTGCTTGTCTATTACTGGTATATAGGAATGCTTGTGATTTTTGCACATTAGTTTTGTATCCTGAGACTTTGTTGAAGTTGCTTATCAGCTTAAGGAGTGTTTGGGCTGAGACAATGGGGTTTTCTAAATATACAATCATGTTATCTGCAAACAGAGACAATTTGCCTTCCTCTCTTCCTGTCTGAATACTCTATTTCTTTCTCTTGCCTGATTGCCCTGGCTGGAACTTCCGATACTGTGTTGAATAGGAGTGGTAAGAGAGGGCATCCTTTTCTTGTGCCGGTTTTCAAAGGGAATGCTTCCAGCTTTTGCCCATATGATACTGGCTATGGGTTTTTCATAAATAGCTATTATTTTGAGATACGTTCCATCAATACCTAGTTTATTGGGAATTTTTAGCACTAAGGGGTGTTGAATTTTATTGAAGGCCTTTTTGGCATCTATTGAGATATTCATGTGGCTTTTTCTTTGGTTCTGTTTATGTGATGGGTTACGTTTATTGATTTGCATATGATGAACCAGCCTTGCATCCCAGGGATGAAGCTGACTTGATCATGGTAGATAAGCTTTTTGATGTGCTGCCGGATTCAGTTTGCCAGTATTTTATTGATGATTTTCACATCAATGTTCATCAGGGGTATTGACCTGAAATTTTCTTTTCTTGTGTCTCTGGCAGGTTTTGGAATCAGAATGATGCTGGCCTCATAAAATGAGTTACAGAGGACTCCCTCTTTTTCTATTGTTTGGAAGTTTCAGAATGAATGGTACCAGCTCCTCTTTGTACCTCGGGTAGAATTCGGCTGTAAATCCAACTGGTCCTGGGCTTTTCTTGGTTGGTAGGGTATTAATTATTGCCTCAATTTCAGAACTTGTTATTGGTCTTTTCAGGGATTCGACTTCTTCCTGGTTTAGTCTTGGGAGGGTGTATGTGTCCAGGAATTTATCCATTTCATCTAGATTTTCTAGTTTATTTGCGTAGAAGTGTTTATAGTATTCTCTGATGGTAGTTTATATTTCTGTGGGATCAGTGGTGATATCCCCTTTATCGATTTTTATTGTGTCTACTTGGTTCTTCTTTTCTTTGCCTGGCTAGCAATCTATTTTGTTAATCTTTTCAAAAAACCAGCCCCTGGAGTCATTGATTTTTTTAAAGGGTTTTTTGTGTCTGTCTCCTTCATTTCTGCTCTGATCTTGCTTGTCTTTTGCTACCTTTTGAATTAGTTTGCTCTTGCTTCTCTAGTTCTTTTAATTGTGATGTTAGGGGGTCGATTTTAGATCTTTCCTGCTTTCCGATGTGGGCATTTAGTGCTATAAATTTCCCTCTTAACACTGCTCTAGCTGTGTGCCAGGGATTCTGGTATGTTGTCTCTCTGTTCTCATTGGTTTCAAAGAACTTCGTTATTTCTGCCTTAATTTCGTTATTTACCCAGTAGTCATTCAGGAGCAGGTTGTTCGGTTACCATGTAGTTGTGCAGTTTTGGGTTTCTTAATCCTGAGCTCTAATTCGATTGCACTGTGTTCTGAAAGACTATTAGGATTTCCATTCTGTTGCATTTGCTGAGGAGTATTTCACTTCCAATTATGTGGTCAATTTTAGAGTAAGTGCTATGTGGTGCTGAGATTCTGTTGATTTAGGGTGGAGAGTTCTGTAGGTTGAGGGTGGAGAGTTCTGTCTATTAGGTTCGCTTGGTCCAGAGCTGAGTTCAAGTCCTGAGTATCCTTGTTAATTTTCTGCCTTATTGATCTAATATTGACAGTGGGGTGTTAAAGTCTCCCATTATTATTGTGTGGGAGTCTAAGTCTCTTCGTAGGTCTCTAAGGACTTGTTTTATGACTCTGGGTGCTCCTGTATTGGGTGCATGTGTATTTAGGATAGTTAGCTCTTCTTGTTGCATTGATCCCTTTACCATTAGGTAATGCCCTTCTTTGTCTTTTTTGATCTTCATTGGTTTAAAGTCTGTCTTATCAGAGACTAGGATTGCAACCACTGCTTTTTTTTTGCTTTGCATTTTCTTGATAAATAACCAAAGGGTGAGTGGTTAATAGAGTGAGCCAGGCCCCGAGCGGTACTGTTGGGAGGTTGTGGGGAACACACAGACAGGGGCACCCGTGAGAGCTAGAAGCACGCCACACCAGGGCGGGTCACGGTTCTCGCCCTGCAGAAGCCGTGAGGCCAGCATGTGTTGGTCTGTACTGCCCGGCCTGTGGTGAGCTGTCACACAACTCATGCAAGTCCAGGCAGCAGAACGTGAACAGAGCCTCATGGGCACAGCTTTTCGGCAATTACTAGCGCATCTCATTTTATTGCACTTCATTGTGCGTTTTATAAATTACAGGCGTGTGGCAG